AGNCTACCCATACGAGCCATAAAGCACCATGTGTTTACCTCGGTGCCATCACGTCGATAGATAGGCCCAGCTGCGCTTGAGCACCCCTTGTTTTCCATCACATGATGCATTATGCATGATGCGTAGACGACAACAAGAATGTCGTCACCCCCTTGCCAAGCAAAGGAACAACGAAGTCGTATCCTGTGCAGCAAGTGCTCTGGCGGACACATGTTTCACGGCGGTGCCGGTGGAAACGTTCATGGAATGGAAATGCCGGTTCGGCCCTTTCCACGACGGCAAGCGACCAACCTTTGGCTAGTCGGCTAAGTGGGTATGACGGTATGTGGCTAGGTCAGCCAATGGGCACAGGTCCGAGGGTGGGCACGTAGGTGACCAGGCCGCGGTTTGGCGGCCAATCGGCAGCTTGCCGGCTTTTTTTCCGCACGGCGGCTCGGCCGCTTGTCTGCTCAGGTGGCTTGGTGGCTCGGCGGCTCAATGGCTTGGCATCTTGTATACGGATAGAAGCAGGGCTGAGATGTAATGTGACAGATGTGACGGTTGTGCATATGTATGTATGTATGTATTGCAGCTGGATTGCATGGCTCTCGTTCGATAGTCAGCTCTGGCCACTGGGGATCTGCAGCTCAGGTGCACCTGCGCCTGGGTGTGTTTGTTACACGCCGCCGGTGATCCTTTCCTCCCCGGGAACCCCCTAAAAGGGCCTAACGCAATTGATTATGTAATCCATTCATAGTTCTATAACCACTACGCGCGCTTGCTGCTAGTCAAGCGCATATTCGTATCCTTGCTGAGCCGGGGATATTCCCTCGTTCCGTCCCTTTGCATTTCCATAACATGCGTGAACGTATTCATCTTTGCATATCGAAAGTAAATATCTAGGATATGATAAAGATAATTAAAAACACAAATGGCTCTAAGGGACGCATCGTCTCACAAAACCCTAAGTTTATCTGGGATAGAAGTCGATTGAGCGATGGCCAGGAAGGGCCAGGGCAAGGACGGTTCCATCTGACATATGCACTATCAAGCAGCAAGCGATCGAAGGCGAGCGCCGTTTGCCAGCCTTGTCTTGCTCAGCAGTACGCCAGAGAGGTCCCTGCTTGCTAGCTTCCGTATGGAATGATGCATGTAAACATGTAAAGATGTATTATATACACCGCCAACATCTAAAGATGTAATATATACACCGCCAACATGTAAAGATGTATTATATACACCGCCAAGAGCTCCGCAAACAAGAAACTGCATGCATGCATAATCACAAAGAAAGCCATTGACCAACAGATATAATGAATTGCAGCTACCGCAGACCAGCGCTGACAATGGTGGCATCTGAACATGATATTCCCATCTGCAATCTGCCGCCGGCCACAACAGGTGTGATGATGTCCCAGATATAGCCATGCATGGCGACACACGCTTGGCGCTCCAAAACCCCGGGTTGCACTCCCCAGTTCCAAACCCAACTATAACTTCGCCGTGTGTGTCCAAAGAAGCAGACAGCCTTCAGTGCGCGTGAATCCTGACACGCGGTCAATACGTCTCGGGAACTTCTTGAAGATATACAGCACTTGTGCATGTTACTGGTGATAGTAGATGGATGGCGTGACCAGAGCTGGTTGGTACATTGCCGATGGCGGCACCTGGCCCACCAAGTGCGGCACACAAGAGGGGTAGCCGCCATATGTACGGGGCGGAGCTGCGGCAACGCCGGCCGCCGCTGCAGCCGCCGCCGCCGAGCAGTAATACCCTGCCTCTGCCAGTGAGTCCTCAGACACCGGTATCTCCATGCCGCTGAGCGGTACGGAAGGCAGCAGCAGCTGCTGTTGCAGCGGCTGCGTACCGTACTCTACGGCATCCCCGTAAGGATTTGATTGATGTTGCGGTTGTAGGCATGATTGAGCCTGCATCTGCACCTGCACCTGCGGCTGTGCGCTACCTGCTTGTGCCCCGTGGGGAGCCCACTTCAGCGTCACGAGGACGTATCCGTGCTGTTTGCGGCTCTTTTTGCTGAATACTGCCACCTCTTGCCGGTCGCTGCCTTTCTGACGCGCACGGGCCAGGGAAAAGGACGCGGTGCCCAGCAGGTCATCACGCCCAACATCCTGGTCCTGCATCCATCGAACACAGGATCATCGGTACACATCATCGTAAGGTTAGTATACTACAATCAGGGCTTGAATTTGCAAATGCATACATCCAATAAAGAAATTCATTAAAGAAAGCGATGCAGAGGCGTCACTAGGCAGGGCACGACAGCATGCAGGATAGGGGTATGCTAAGCCAAGCTAAGGGCGGAAGGCGCACGGCACGGCGTGTGGCAGGGCCCCCGTCCGGCTGCCTAGTAGTTGAATGCTTAATGTTTTAAGGTATGTCAAAGCAAGTGTGTCGCTTGTTCCAGGAGCTTCCTGCTTCATGCACACCTTGACGTCCATGTTGACGTGGTTCTCGTCCATCAGGGCGATTTGGAAGGTTTCGTGCCAGACTGGGTTGCGGCCGCCGTCTTTAGCTGTCTGGGTGCGGAACTGCTGGCAGCCCACTCTGAGGATGCAGTAAGGGTCCTGCCTGCGGATGTAAACGAGAGCGGCGAGGCAGGGCGAGCCATGTCGAGGCAGCGCAGGACGGCGCAAGCGAACGACGAGGCCTTAACTTGTCCTGTTCGGTAGCAAAGCAAATAACTGTATCAAGACTCTGTAGCATAGACTTCAATATAATATTTTATTCATGTCCTTCAAAGAAACTGTCGACGATGTTCTGTCAAATAGACGGAAAGCTGGCGCAACGGTGAAGTGCTGTAGGCTTTGGGTGCGAACTTTTTGCCAGTTGCAATCATAATTATTTTCTGTGAAAATCATAGGGAACCTTAATTGCAAAGTTTAGACTGCACAATATCGGCCGCCGTCAGCAGCAGTAACAAGTTGTACGCACTTGCCAAACCAGTCTCCGGACTTCAAATCCTTGGCATGCTCCACGGTGATTGACATGACACCAGCTTGTAGAGCCATCTGTAAGTTGTTGTTTGGAAGGATGGTAGGGATAAAGACTAAAACCAATACACGGATAAATATGACGGGCGAAAATTTGGAGCTTTCTTGTTAAAGCGGACCGGCAGTAAATAAGTTCATCAAATATGAGAGTTTTACCTTTTTATTACATTTACTTGCAAACTCAGTAGGTTCGCATGTGGTCGCGAAGGCGGACGGTTGCCTTCGTTACGGCGTTACCGTACCCGCCTTCGGCGAGAAGGTAATGGGCACGGTTGGAGTGGTCGTTGAAATGGCGCCACAGCTTGGCGTTTGGAATTCAGCGAGAACTCGTTCAATAAGGAGCCATTGCGCCTAGAGCTTGCTGCAGCCCTTGCAACAGACCTCACTGACGCTGCTTCCATCGACATTCCTCCAAACCCGTAACTTATCCACAGGCTCGATTAACATGAACTGTAGTAACTAACAGCATGGCATCCCGATGCATCGCATTGGCCTGAAATGCAAACTGTACTACGTGTTAAAAATTTATTCTCCAGTTCGTTGAACGACCACCCGACGCGCATGGACGGTCCTGCTACTTGGAAAGGTCTCTAGAGAATCGCATGGTCGAGCTGCAACACACGGTACTGAAGCATCTCTCTTGGTTAGGGAGAATACCGGATAATCGTGTGTTGTTTAGGGAGCTTGGTCCATGGCCCTTCCACCTTCACTGGGCCTCACTTTTTTTTACCGATTTTGGAACAGGGCTATCCTTGCGAAGGGCACTGTGTTTTAAAATGTTTCGCTTGAGGAAATACGTATTGCAGGACGTCTTGATTTTACTGCCACCAACCGGGTGCCATGATCCTAAGAGGTCTCAGGGTCTGTGGCAACAATAATGCAGGAGGTGCACACCAGGCTGATATCGAGCCCGCGCCAATATGAGGTCTGTCATGAAGATAGATGATCAGCGCGGACTTGCGCAGATCGTACACAACAATTTACAAGTTTCGCACACAAGTGCGGGTGTGTCCGTAAAACCCGGGGGGGGCCATGGACGTTGTATTGGTATTGATGCGGGTACACGGGAGGTCATCATCATCTGCATGCGGCGACGCACGCTCATAGCCGAGTAGTAAGCCTGAGGTCGCTTACTGTTTTCCCTCGCAGATGGGGTTCATAACCCCTTTTTTCTCTTTTCTTGTTCATTCTTCCTTCTTTTTTGGCTACGTTCGAACTCGCGGTCCATAAGCTCCCTACCTTGGAAGCCCTCTTCATACTTCCCTCTTCTACTCTTCCCCACCGTTCGGCCAAGGCCTTTCGGGGCGGCCCCCTTACAGCGGTCCTGCCCTACACCCGCCCTAGTGGCTGTGCCCACAACACCAATGGACACAACCCAAACTTACACAGCTCGTCGAGTCTGGCGGACAGCGGGCATACACGTTTGGCAGGTTCACTGCCCATGCATACCGTGTTACAAATGGGCGGACGGCATTCCACATACCGCCGTCGTGTTGTGGTGCCTTCATAAGACTTCCTGGTTGCTGCTCGGATTTGGCGACAATGAGCTGCACAATTGCACTCCATCGAAGTCGCGCAAAGAAAGCACCCCGACCCCGGGGTGCCCATGACGACATAACCACCAAAGCATGACTACACTCTCTGTCCCTCTACACAACAACATTTGCTTTCTAAAACGCCCACCCAAGATCCCACGGAACTTTCCACCAAGCCGACCCCACCTAGAGGGAACTATAAAACAGGTCTGTAAATGGTTCGAAAACGGTGGACAGGTCCCGATCTTGAATCCCGCCAACGCCCCAACCACCACCACCCCACCCCACCCCATGCATGTCGTTAAGGCGACGTAGAAACATGACAGCGCAGGTCCGTCGGGTTACGTACGGCAGGCCAAGAGCAACATGCTAAGCAAGGTAGGCGATGACTCCTCCCCTACAACAGCCGCAGGTTCTCCCCGCTCCTCCAGCTGCCGCCGGACGCACCCACATCGTGACGCTGTCTAGCCATTCAGCATCTCTAGTGTGGTCTGGCCTAATGCAAGGATGCACCGAGTCAATGCCTGTCCTCCTCCACCCTTGCGACGGCCAGGAACAAGCCTCTCGTTTCAACCGTTGTTGGGTCACTCCGCGCCGCAAGAGGTCGTACATTGTTGCTCATGTCAAAGGCCACTCCAGGCTAAGACTAACATTAGTGATGCAGGAGTTACATGGCCGCAGTGGCAGCCACCATTCCGCCGGGAGCCTGAATGAACGTAACCTCAAAGTCCCGCTCTAAAGCAGTAGCAGCAGCAGCCGTGGCATCAGCAGCAGCAGCAGCCGTTCAGGAAGGACGCATCTAAGTGGTGGGGCGCCCGCACGCCTGTGCTCGCTAACCGGGGCAGCTAGCAGCAGCAGCTGGCAACTTAACGATGTCAACATAACATCCCCATTTCGGCGGCGCCACAATAACAGGTATTGACCGTCCCCGGGTCCCCCCCAAGGCTTTTTTACGGACGCCCCCCCACATTTGTGCGGAACTTATATAACCCCCTCGTAACTTGACGCAATGCATTTCAGTACATGCTGCGTGCACTGCAGTCCGCACTTGTGCTGCCGCCGTCTCAGCTCATTCCACCGCAATCATCTCCTCAACGTGATAAGCCGAACACCGACAGCATCTGGCGGCTGGGCGGCATCGTAGCTCGCAGGATTTTCTGCAGCACGTTTTCAGAGCAAGCGGACGCCCAAGTCACTGAGGACAGGTCAGGTCCGCAACGCAAGGTGCGCCCTAATTCTTTGGTAGCATGCCAAGGAATGGAGGAGTTCCGGACGCATGCCCCCGACCCCCCACTCTATTCCCTCCCCATTCCCGTCCGTGTTGGTGCAATGCGGGTATGACCCTCGTCGCCCCCAAACTTCTTATCCTCCCTCCCAGCCCGGCACCTACCTGCAGCGCAATATACTCCTCCTGCGTCGCCTGCATGGGGAGCCAAATGAGGTATTTCAAGATACACGTCCGCAAACAAGCAAGTGACGAAACAGTTAAATGGAGGTTTGAAACAGTTGACGAGGCACGACATCCGACGCACGGGGCTATATGACGCGTCAAAAAGCGGGAGTGGCTGTGCCGCGGAGAGAAGAGTACTGCGCCGGAAATCACGTGCTGAGCGGATATGTCGATGTGGAAAGGCTATCTGTTCGCTTCCGCGGCCTCGCTCCGCTGTTTGCTGACTCTGTCCCCTCCCGCCTTGCCCTTATCCATCGACCTTCCTCTTCATCACACTCTTTCCAGCTGCCGCCGCGACCTACTCCATCTCGAATATCACCACACACACCTCCTTGTCTTCTTTAGGGTTGTCTTCTTTAGGGTTGTCTTCTTTAGGGTTGTCGTCTTTAGTTCATCCCCGAAGGGGAAGAACCAAAGTCCCTACTTGTTCATCATTTTCATTATTTTCATCATTAAAATAAAGAAAAATAAAGGGGTTCCCCTAAAGGGGTTCCCCTAAAGGGGTTCCCCTAAAGGGGTTCCCCTAAAGGGGTTCCCCTAAAGGGGTTCCCCTAAAGGGGTTCCCCTAAAGGGGTTCCCCTAAAGGGGTTCCCCTAAAGGGGTTCCCCTAAAGGGGTTCCCCTAAAGGGGTTCCCCTAAAGGGGTTCCCCTAAAGGGGTTCCCCTAAAGGGGTTCCCCTAAAGGGGTTCCCCTAAAGGAGTTCCCCTAAAGGGGTTCCCCTAAAGGGGTTCCCCTAAAGGGGTTCCCCTAAAGGGGTTCCCCTAAAGGGGTTCCCCTAAAGGGGAAGAACACACCAAAGTTCCCCTTTAGGGGAAGAAGAAGAACCCCTTCTTCCCCTAAAGGGGACTTCTTCCCCTTTAGTTCCCCTAAAGGGGATGAACTAAAGGGGACGAAGAACTTTAGTGCTCTTCTTCTTCCCCTAAAGGGGAACTTTAGTTCATCCCCAAAGTCTCTTCTTCGGGGAGACGAAGAAGAGACTTTGGTTCCCCTTCGAAAAAAACGAAGGGGAAGACTTTGGTTCTTCCCCTTTGGTTCCCCTTTAGGGGATGAACTAAAGAAGACAACCCTAAAGGTGACACCCCTTTAGGGGACGAGGACCACCCACCTACCCACCTGCAGCAATGTCGCCACAGCTGGCAGCAGCATATCCCGCTCCTGAACTTTATTGGTCAGGTGCGCCTCCAAGAACTTGAACAACACGTTCTTCATGTACACAGCATCCACATTGCTCGGCCCGCCGCTGCCCTTGCGTGTACCTGCCGAACCGCTGCCGTCGCCACCACCGCTGCTGTTGCCGCCGTCACCGGGGTCCCCGGCGAAGGCGGCGTCCAGGTTATACAACCCACCGCCGCCGACCCTATTCTGTACCTGCCACTTGGGTGTCATCACAGCAGTGGCAGTCGGCGGCGATGGCGCCGTCGCGGCGTTGCCGCCATTACTATGCCGTCGTGGAGCCGCAACTGCAGCCGCGATGGTTGCGGATGCCTCCTCGCGCGCCCGGCTCCTCGACAGGTCGTCCGGCAGCCCAGCCACGCGAGCCTGGGATTCTGCCAGCGCTTCCCGGAGTTGCTGCAGCTGAGCCGCAAAGGCAGTGGCGGCTGCGGCGGACTCCTGGGTGAGGAGCGCCAGCTCCGCGGTCTGACGAGAGATGTAACGACATGGCGGTTGAGGTTAGGGGTTGGGGGTTGGGGGTTGGGCTCGGGGGTTTTCGAGGGCCTCTGGATGGCCATAGGCTGGTAAGAAGGGCGAAAGCGGCAGGACAAGAGACATGGATAGCACGACGGGGGAAGGAGCCGAAGAGTGAATTCGTTTGATTACTTCGGTTCGGTCTTTTCGCACTTGGTGGGGGGGTCCCCCTCGGAGGGCCAGCTGGACCCCGCGCACAAGGAGGAAGGCTCGCACCTTTACTCACCTGCCCTGCCCTGCCCACCACTGAACCTCACTGCCACCACCACTACCTACCTTGGTTCCCAGCTGCTCACGCAGCTCCCCCTCCGCCCGCGCCGCTGCCTCGGCGCGCTGCACTGCCATGCCGCGCTCCGCCTCCGCCGCCGCCAGTCTCGCCTCCAACGCCTCTACCTCCTCCCGCAGCGCCGGCGGCCACAGCGCCCGACTGGACAGCACCGCCCCACAGCGGCGCTCCACCTCGGAGGCGATGGAGCTCTCCGCAGCACGAGCCCGGCACTCCGCCAGTGCCGCATGCTCCTACAGACCACAGAGTTGGGGCATCCGGGGCCAACGAACTACAGTGGTCAGCATCCGGCGGTCAAAGGAAAAGCACTGACCACCCAAAGGCCAAGGCCGGGGCCCAGAGGACAGCGAATAGATGGAGTCAGACCCAAAGCCCGCGTCAGAAGATAAGGACCAGAACCAGGGAGCGTCACCACACCAGTCTGCAAGTGCCTCCTCTTCCACCCGCGGGACCCACAACCTGCGAACAAGGGGACCACCAGCACGGGGGCCCCCTGGACAAGCCTCCACCCCGGCCCACCCCGCTCCCAACTGCCCCTCGACCACCCACATCCGCTGCCGCCGCTCTCGCCGCCATATCTGCCAGCCGCAGCTCCGACGCTGACAGCAGCGAGCCCAGCCCCATCAGCTGCTCCTCAAGCCGGGATTTGGCCTCCGTAAGCTCGCCGCACACCTGTGGTGGCAGGGAAAGGAAGGAAGGAGGGAAGCAGAGATTGGAACATCCAGGGAAGCGCCAGCAGGTCCCGTCAGGCAGGCTGCACAACACAGCCTGTCTTCCAAACGCATATGTATGTCGCAATCCCTCGTCCCCCAGCTGCTCCCGCCGCACACGTCGCCCCCTTACGGGCCGCGGTGCCCCACAGTGCGTTGTTTACGTCTCAAGCATACCCCGCTTGCCTTTTTATAGTATGCCGCCATCTCCATCTCCGCCTTGGACTCCGCCAGTCGCTGACTGAGCTGCAGGTTGGCCATCGCCAGCTCGTCGCTACGCCGCGCCACCGCCTCCGCCTCGACCAGGGCTGCGGAGGAGGCCGCTTCGCGCTGCTGTGCCAGCTGCGTGAGACAGTGTGCGTGGGTCAGTCACGTATGGTTGTGGAGTGGGGTTGGTTCTAGGTTTGTTTGGGTGGGTTGGCAACCAGTTTGGTGAGTAGGGATGAGACGGGGTCGGCGGACGGGTGAGTGGGCTTCGAGCTGTGAACGATGCGAGATTGGAAAGGCAGGTAGGTTAGTAGGTAGGCAGGCAGGAATACAGTCCTGTCCGGTGCATTGGGGGGCGTGACAGTGACCGGCTGTGCCAGCAGTGGTGGTGTCATATTCACCAAGTGTGAGCGAGACGACCACTTCCCCAGAGGGACTGCGCCCGCAGGGAGGCCCCCAGTGTCGAGCCTCCATTCACCTGGAGAGCCGCTTCCAGCCGGGAGATGCAGGATTGCGCAGCGACGAGCTCCGCCTGTAGGCAGAAGCCGGGGAGTAAGGGGGAATAATTGTAGTATCCTGGGTATCACGGGATCTGACATCCGCCGATCGGTTCTTTCATGAAAAAGACGTGATCCAATAGGATGGATGTCAGATGATACAGGGATTGTCTAGTTACACTAGGCAATACAGTACTGTTGATTTTGGGGACATAAAACCCGTCGAATGCGGCTATACCCAACCAGCTGGAGGAAGACAGGAACGCAGCAACACGCAGCCAGCCAGCTGCCACCTAGTCCAACCAACCCTTAAACCGGTTCCCAGGGCAGTCGCACACATGACGTGGAAATGGGTAAGCGGAGATAGGCAAACGGACATTTTGATGGGAGAGTTGCCGAGGACGCAGAACAAAAGGGAGTAGAGTACCTTGGGGGGCCAGGAGGGGCAGGGACGGGCCAGGAAATGGTCCGCCGGCGGCTTGGCGCGGTGCAGCTAGCGAGGTGCGCCGACTGCTGACCTGCAGAGGCAGGCTTCCTCCCTCTCTCCCTCCCTCCCTCCCTCCCTCTCTCCCTCCCTCCCTCTCTCCCTCCCTCTCTCCCTCCCTGCCTACCTACCTACCGGCCTACCTACCTACCGGCCTACCTACCTACCGGCCTACCTACCTACCGGCCTGCCTGCCTACCTACCTACCGGCCTGCCTGCCTACCTACCTACCGGCCTGCCGGCCTACCTACCGGCCTGCCTCCCTCCCTCCCTCCCTCCATCTCTCCCTCCCTCCCTGCCTACCTACCTACTTACCTCCCTCCCTCTCTCCCTCCCTGCCTCTCTCCCTCCCTCCCTCCCTCCCTCCCTCTC